ACCAAGACTTTCGCGACCCCCATGCAGTACCTCCGCGGACCCCCTAGGGGTCACGGACCCCCTGTTGAAGACCTCTGATCTAAATAAACCTCTAGATGTTCTTTTTGCTTCCATGTCCTCACTGGTTCTGATTGCCGATAATACAGCTGCTAACTTTCCAAACTGCTGCTGAAATGATCGATTCGTTTGGAAATGAGCTTCAAAGTCCGGCTCTTCTCTCTTTCATACTGAGACCGATTCCCAATCCTCCACCTGCTGAACCCACAGCAGCTTTTGCTCCTCAGTCCAGTTTGCTTTTTGTTGTTTTTTTAACCACTTTTCTCCATATTTCAATGTTTCTCCAAATCAAACCTCTTTATTCCAGCAGCCAATCAGAGCAAAGCACTGACAGGCGAGGCCACATTTATATAAACAGATCAGGAGCATGATGCAGATGGCGAGTAGGTCCAAACATTTTGATGATGATGATGAAGTTTCATCATCATAACAGTCATTGATTGGATCAGATCCTTACATCTTTCTCTCATTATTCAATATTTGATTTTCATTTTTATTTTGTTATTTTCTGCATCAGCCAATCACATCACAGCTGTGAGAAGACAGCATCACCCCTAGCAACAGGGTCAGCCACACCTCCTCACCAGGCGCTCCAAGTCCCTCTGAGTGAGACGGGATCCCTCTGAAGGTCCAAGCTCTGAGAGACTCTGATGATTTATTTAGGATCGGATGAATAACGGCTCTTTAAGTTTTAGGAGTTTGTACATTTGTTTACAAGACAAAAAATATATAAAATTACTGTAAAAGTATAAAAAAGCTACAATCGGGAAGAAAAAGAACATGAAATAAAATCAGACTTAAGAACAACTTATTTAAAACATTTAAAAAGCCTTTAAAACAGATTTAATCTTGTAAAACCAATTTTATTACACAGTAATCTTCTCAATTACTACATTTCAAAGTCCAAAGCAAGTATCTGTTTTTTGTAAACAACATAATATTTACACAATGAAATGTAAGTGAAATTACCGTTCTGTTAGAAAATGACATTTTCTCTTTTTTATTTAAGAGACGAGAGATATTTTTTATTCTAACCACCACAGCTGAGGTTTGTTTATTGCAAGTCATTCAATAAAAACATCCCTTCTTCCAGAGACCGATAAAAAGCTAGGATTAGTCTGTGAAGCCTGGATTGGAGCAAAAACTTCTGTCTTTATATTTCATCCGTCTGAAAACGAGTCAGAAAATCTGAGTCTAAAGCCGG